CACCATCTTGGGAGTAGTTACAAGGATAGCTCCTCTCCCTAACTCCAACTTGCTTCACTTCTCATATTGCACCACCACTCCACACAGCACCAAATCCTCCCTCTTCCTTCGTCTTCTCAGCATTCACTTCAGCCTAGCTCCTAGGGCTGCCATAACTGTCTTTGTGATAAATCTAATGTTTAAATCATGTGAGCGAAAGGGCATAGTTTATTTTAATCATTAATTTTAATTCTCTTGGAAGAATTTAATTCTCCTCAAGGAAGAGATAAAATTATCTCACCCTTCTTGGATTTATTTATGTCTAGCAAAAAAATAAATCAGATACCTTCAGGATCTGTTTTCATAACTTTGACCCTAAGAAAATAGGTTCATTCCTTGTTTACATTTCCCAATTCGTTTTCGTCAATGAAAATATATTTGTTTACCTAAATTCTCAAGGAAGAGATAAAATTGTTCTCCATCCCTGGGCTGATTTCTGTCTAGTGAAAATATAAACCAGATCACCTGCTAGTCAAGGCAAGATTGATCTTCACAACTTTGACCTTCACAACTAGTTCATTTTTTTGTTTAAATTTCCCAATTCGTTTTCATCAATGAAAATATGAGCCCCGGCTGTCTCTCCTCTCATTAAAGATGTGTGTTTTCCTAATTCCCCCCAAAAGAGATAAAGTCATTTCTCTAAATCTGTTTTCATTATCATGTCACTCTCAATAGATAAAAATAAATTTTAGGAGAAAAGAATTCTGGACGGTCCCATTTTTGCCATGGAAGATAAATGTCTTCATTCATTCTTTCTCCCTCAGCTTACATTCCATTTTAGGCTTAACCCTTTTCTGCTCAGAATTAACATTTAACTACCTCATGGCCTCAGTTTCACATGCGTACTGATGTTTAGAAAGAGATATATTAATATTATATAATGTTGAAGTCATATACATTGTGAGTGAAGGAAGAAATTCAAAAAATAAACAGTATAAAGATGTGAGAAGTGAGAAGAGACAGAAGATTATTATTTTTGTTTTTTTATACTGCTTAATTTCTGAGAAAAGCAAGAAGATATAGAGTATTATTCCATATATATATATATATATATACACATACACACACACATATATATACACACACACACACACATATATACACACACACACATATATACACACATACACACACACACACATATATATATACACACATACACACACACACATATATATACACACATACACACACACATACACACACACATATATATATATATATATATATATATATATATATATAAAAAACTGGTTAATTCCTAAACAGGAAGCAGTCATTGAGATTCCTACTAATTTACAAAGAGATTTATCTGAAAGCAACACACTAGCAGCAATGTCAGCTTTTCAAAAATTCATCTGCAAATGAAAAATAAATCAATAGAAGAAATACAAATCTAAACGACCAAATTTCATTTTTTTTTTTTTAAATTTTCTTTGTGATTTCACAAAACCTCTGATGGAAATTTTGTGATTCCAACAGAATCATTTCCTGCTTTGGGCTAAGTTGTCTGTCTCAATAGGAAACATTGTTTGTTCAGTTTAATTTCTTAAGTGAATTTTGGCTACAAGATGAATTTGTTTTGTCGGAACAAAGTGGCATCTGACAGAAACATTATGCAACAAAAAGCAAATACTGAATGTATGTGCACACACACACATTTTTATATATATATCGTGGCTGTCCTCGCGGTTTCGAGCATGACCACCTCCTTTTTTCATGTCCTCACACCCCTCTCCCATCAAATTCTATGTATTCGCAGGTGACTCTTCAGGCCAGCCAAACTGCTACAAATTTTGCCACAGAATATATATATATATATATATATATATATAAAATAGCTGGTCACTCATATTCGAGGATACCTGTCTACTAGGATTGGCTAGCCAACCCCTATTGCAGACTCTCACTCAGGCACATTTGGTTTATATTGCAAGTATGCTGAGCAGACTTTAGTTGCAGTTTCTGGGAGAGAGAGTACGTTATTTAAAATGATCAAATTTCTGAACAATGCCAGCGTACTCAAACCCTCTGTCATGATGACTTGTGACTTCACTTTCGCACAGCTATCAACAGCCCCCAAGTGTTCCGTCTACCCAAATTCACTCACAAGGATTGGGTCAACCTGTGGTATGGTTTTCAGGCACTTTCCAAAGGTGCCATACACTGGGATCATCTGACCAATAACATCAGGAAGTCTCCTTCCTGACAAATCAACCATGGTGAGATTCAAACCAGAGTCTCATGGTCAGAAAGCACATGCCCATATGGTATGTGTGCATGTGTGTGTATGCATATATGTATATATCACTCAAAACATTATTTTAGTGGATACTCATATTTGAGTAGATGGTCTCTTATAAAATCTGTTGGATTAATAATTAAAAAACCTGTAACTTCTTTAGAAATTGGCTTTATTTATGTTTGTATACGAAACTGAGGAGATATGAAATTTTGAGGATCTGGAAAGGCTTTGTGTTTATAAGGCACTATTTGGCTTCACTTGATAAATGAGAACCTTCATAGCCAAGTCAGTTTAGTGCACATTGAATCTCAATATATATATATATATATATATATATATATATAGCTTAGGATATATTCCTGTAGGATGACCATAGCCATATCATCATATGATGTTGCTCTGGGATCTTTAAGAGTTTTGAGTTTATCCAACATCAGACTCCTTCACTCAGGTTACCCTGCTGGTGGTAATCAAATAACAACATGTGATGATGCAATGAGCTGTGTGAGCAGAAGGCAAATGACTTTAAAAGAGATTTTGGAACCCTAAAAAACCACAAATCAGCTTTCCTCTGTGGGTAACCCACCTCACCAGAATGAAAGAATTCAAAATTCAGGCTTCCCCAATTCATAAATGGAGTGGATGAGCCTGCAGACAAATTTTGGTGTACAGAATTATCAGCAATAGGTAAGAATCTTCATTTTAAAAAAAAAAATGCTATATTTATACACACACACACACCACCACCCACACACACGTACACTCATTCACACACTCACTCCCAAATATGGTCTCTTTTAGGAAGAAATTCATATACAGGAGAAAAATGTCATATTTAATATCGAAGGGTTATCAATAAAGTAATGGATATTCCAAGTGGGAAAAAAAAACATAACTCCAAGTTATATTGATAGGTGTTTCAAAGACAGTCTAATTAAGAAAATCTTATTACAGGATAGTTTGTATTCTATCTAAATATATTAAATATATAACTTTACAACTTAGATACAACATTGAATAAGTTGATAAATAACTACCTTAAAATGAAAATATTAGTAAAAAAGAAAAATAAAAAAAAAATAATGCATATAAAATATAAATCAAATGTTTAGATGACTTAAAATGTCAGAGATTTTTAAAGATTACGTAGACTTGACAAGATCTGAAATCAAACCAGTATTAAATACTGAAAAAAATTATCTTTAAGCAATATGAAAATATATTTCATGTAATAATATAAAAACAAAACAAATTTATGATAATCTCTTCAGTTATATGTAAAATCTGGAATGCACTTAGGTTAGTAATTATTCCTAGATATTGTTACCATATAATCTTGTATTATTGTCTTGTTATATTGGTGGGATAATCCATTCCTATATAGAAAAGATTCAGAGTTAATTGAACAAAGTTAACCTTACCATCTATTAGAATTTATAAAATCTGCCTCTTAAAACTGTTTTTTCTGGAAAATATGCTTCTCAAGTTCACTATACTCTTTCTAGTATTGATGGGTCTTTCCTTCCTAGCCTTTTGTTTAATGTCATCTGCAAATCAAACATCATAATTATGTCCTTATTTTCCATTCTAATTATATGTGCTATCCATTTTAGTTATTGCAGCCGTTGGAAGTCTTCAATTGATGTGATTATTGTCATTTGGTTAAGCGTTTTGTTTGTGATTCTGTAAGAAGAGCCAGTAAGAATTGATGAAGGAGTGTCTTCTTTAAGACCTAAAGAATTCATTCACTTATCCAAATTGACCCAAAAATGCCAGGAATCCTGAGATGCCTAACAATCTTTGAGATCATAATACCAAACAACCAACTAAACTAACAAAAGATATAGAAACATACTTTAATATAATCACAATATAAAGTCTTCAAAACAAACCATTTTCACACATACAAAACAACGGTGTATTTGGCTGTAAAAAACAACCATTATACTCAATATTGATGTGTTCTGAAAATTTTTATGCTCTTCTCATAAAAAAATCATGTTTTCTTAGAAGAGATATAAAAAAAAATGGTGTCATAATTATATATATAGACAGAGAAGTAAATATTGATTGTGGCTCTTGTTGAGAATGATCGAGAAATGTATAACGTTTTGCTTGTCATGGATAGAAATTAAAATGTGTAAATGCCCATCATTATACAAGTTTCAATACAAAGTACAAAACCTATGCACATTTATTTAACACTGAATACAACTAATGAAACAACAAAGAAAAAAAATGATCAAATTTTCCCCAAAAACCTTCATCTAAACTGTGTAAAAAAAAAATAAAATAAAATTGAATATCAGTTCAACATTACAATTTACAGAAAATCTTTCTATCCAAATAAGATACTGATGTATTTGGCCTGGGGAGATTCACATTCAAGTGTTTTTATGATGCAGACACAGAAAATATTACCTCAATGATCAGTAACTTATAAGAAAGTATGCAAGAATAAAGTGTTCTTTGGAAAGTAATCACACTCAGAGTTCAAGACCTTTTTTTACCTTGCAAAAATGCTTGCTTCCTAGACATTCTTTGTCTTCTTCCATGTGCTACATCTCTTCAGCATGTGAGTGATCATGGCTCTCCACATTTTCCTATTCTGTATAACCCTTATGTGCTCCTGAACCAATCTTAATTGCAGCTATATGAAGAAGTAACATATGCAGAATGTTTTCTTTGTATAGTGACTGATTACAGCGACATCATGTTAAAACACCAGTCCCTTTATGATCCCTGAAGTTAAGCAATGTTGATCCTGATGAGTACCTACATGGGTGACTGCTTAGGAATACCAGGTGCTGAAAGCTTAGATGAGCAGGTGGTCTAATGGATAACAGTTCAGAATTAGAAGAGAGCGTTCCAATTCCAGTTGGGTCTGTTATATCCACTTATGCACAAATATCCTTGCAAAAAGTATGAATCCACCTATTTTCCCCCTAAACTATGGATTAATTAGTAAGACTTGTATCAGTAAATCACTATCATCTCAAAAAAAAAATCTTATAATCTTAAAATATTTTCTGGCTTTAAATAACCTGCACCCATAGAAAATGAATCAATCAATCTTTTGTATAGTAATAAACATGGTGTATTAGTAAATGTTTGTATCTTATTTTTGGACATCACTGTACATACAGCAATTTTACGATTCCAATGGAATAAATTATGACCATGGAATATTAGTGTTTAAGCCTTTTTATTATATATATATATATATATATATATATATATATATATATATATATATATACCCAAAACTATACATTGAATATTATTGAACATAGATGAATATATATAATATCTATTTTATATATAATATCTATTTTATTCATGCCATGAATAAAAAGTGACAGTAATATAAATATACTTTTCTAGTTATTATTTATTCTGCTCTTTCAGAAACAACTGGTCTTTATAAACAACTTCAAATAGGCCACCATTGTCATCACGGAAATACTGCCATCTAGCATCATTATAGCCTGGAGTTAATACAACAGAAAGAGACATTGGCTTGTGTCATAAATAATTTCTGTTTTTGTTTATAAAATTTATTCTTAAAAATAAAAAAAGTACACTCACATTTTATTTGCTAAAATAATCACCATTATTTGCTAAAATTTTTATCAATTATCTGGCTATTACTTGAGAAAGTGACTGAAGTCAAGATTGATCATATTAAAGATCCTTCCTTGGGATTTTGTCAAGAATCTCAAGATGTATAACAGCAGCACCAGACCAGATATGGCATTAATATTCAATACATGGATGAATGATAAATTTGTAAATGTACAAGATGGATTCTGACAAGAAAAATTTTCTGGTGTGTCACAGTGACCAAAATTCCCTTGTAGTAGATGCAGATAATGATTCAGTGTAATTGCTCCACATCAAGTTAGTGGAAAATGTGTGTCCAAAAAGGTGCTGTGTGTTGCCCTTCAGGAGTCTAGTGTCAACCATGCTGATAGCAGGTAGAAAAGGTTCTCTATGGTGGTTAAATGAAAGGAGTTTTGTTTACAAGACATTTTCTGCCCCAGTATTGTCTGAATATTTGAGAAATCTTATCAAAGAAAAATGTACCTTTTGGCACAATTTGAACCTGTCTTATCCTTTCTAGGAGTAACCATCATTAGATCCAATATGTTTTATCTTCTCGGCTATGAAGAGTATTGTGATTAAACAAAGTTGTATATGGGTATACACTAAAAATGATATTTAAAAGGGATAAAAATATGTCAGATTAATAAATAAAAATCCATTACTTCTTTATTAATTGTTTTAACTGTGCCTCATAATAAAGGAAGAAAAAATGAAGAAAGAAAAAACAGATAAAAAAATTAATTAAAAAAGAATGAAATAAAATTAATACGGCTAGTCGGGTGGTGTAGATCTGAGCCCTATCAAAGCTGGAGACATACTTAATAGGCAATGTATGTCTTGCTTTAACTTTATAAATAATCTTTTAAAAATCTCTAATGACTTGTTTTTCAAAGAACACATTTTTATTTCAACTTATTCTTTCCAAATATCCATTTTAAATAATTTATTCTGTACAGTATAAGGTTTTTTAGTGTAATGGATCCTTTGAGAAAGAGAAAATTAAATTGAGGCCAACAATAGATTTAGTGAAAATCAAATAAAGTGGCAGCCTTAAATCGTCGATTGGAGGGTTGGGGTGAGGAGTGTGACTGGGGTAGTATTGAGGAAATATGATATTAGTCACCAGTATTGATCATAAACTTGTACAATACATTAAACTAAAAATTCACAGAGAGAAATACATAAACACTAACACATAGACATATATACAAACACACACTCAAGATAGATACACACATTATTTGAAAAGAAAAAAAACATATCTGGCTTTGTCTTCACTCTTTTTTTCTTACATGTCTACAAAAAATTTTTTAAATAAATGTTTATTTTTATAGAATTATTACAACTAATATTAAAATGCCAAAATGTGTTTTTTTAATTTCATGCACAGAAATTTTTAAAAAATTATACATTTTAGTTAGAGTAAAAAGTAATCATTTTAGTTATACTAATAGTATATTTTGTTAAAGATTGTAATGAACCCAACAAACACTGATGACCTAGAGTTGCATTATATATATATATATATATATATATATATATATATACACACACACACACACACACACACACACACAGGATGACTGAGAAATAACCCCCTATGATGGACTCTCCTGTCTTGGAAAAATTATAGTTAGACGGGAGAGTCCATCATACATAAAATAGGGAGTTACTTTTCAATCACCCTGTGCGTGTGTGTGTGTGTGCACATATCTCAAAATCAGTCAGTTATGTGCCATGCATGATACATGCTTAGGCAAACATGTATCTTCCGATACATGACTGACAATGCTGATTTTTTCCTACAGTAGGTTGCCATTTCTTTCTATGGTAGACCAGTTGCCATCCAAGGCTATACAACTTGATCTGTCCTGTAAATAACCCATAGCTGGGGGGAGAAGAAGAGTATTCATATCTTTCCCAAGAGTATTACCACGTAAGTAAATTTAATGGATTTGACTGGAATTTGAACTCATCTCTCTGATTCCTCAGTCCGAGCTGCTAGTAGATTTATTAAATATTTTATTGCATTGATTTGTTGATTGGTATGAAAATAATTTAAATGCCCAATGTACACTTTTTATTTTCTATGGTTTATGAAACAAAAAACACAAGAGTTTCAAGGTTAAAAATATACTTTACAGGGAACAAGCTAAAAATTATTTATAAACAGAATTTTAGTTAAAAATTTAATGTAAGTAAAATATACTAAAATAGACATTAAATAAAATCTTAGCTTACAGATATTTTTCACCTTTTGAGACCAGGTAGAGAAAATAAAGATTATTATAGGTTCTAGTTTTATATTTTCACATTAAAATCTGTTGTTGAGATTGAGACAAAAGTGTTTATTTTCCATAGATTTCACTGCAAAGGTATTTTCAGAATAAGCAAAATATTTACAAGCATGTCCTGAAAATTTGATTGCTTGACCAAAATGAGATTTTATTTTCTGTTATTTTAATCAAATTTTCAATATCCTCTCATAAATTTCATAATTGGCAATTGTAGAATCTATGAAATTTTTATTAGCACCATGTGTAAAGTTTTATTTCTAAGAAATGTGCTGTGAATTCTTATAACTATTGTAATGGAGGCAAAGTTTAACTTTTATGCCATCAAAAATATGGTGTGACAAAAGGAGGGTTATTCCCTTGATGCACTGCTATTAATGTATACATTTTTAACTCCTTTGGTAATGTTTATTTACAAGATTATAAAAATATGTGATATTTCTTATTTATCTTTTATAATAATTAATTTACCATTTTATAAAGAAAGAAATTTGTAAAGAAATGTTATTAAAAAATTTATAAAACATTACAAAATTATCAAAATATGTAAACCAGTTACAATGCAATATTTATTTACCATTTTATCAATAACTATGAAAAGTTTTTTATTCAATCTAATAAATAAATAGTGTTTCATATCTTTGTTGCCAATTTTCAAGAAGAAAGAAAATTTTCATGTTTGAATTTTATTAAAATTCTAACCATCACTTTTTAAAAACAATAAACATGGCTGACAGAGTCAAAAGTGTATGCAGTAATAGTAGTGTGAGGGAAATCACTGTCTTTTTGACACAATATATTTATATGGGTAAAAAGTTTAAACATTGTCATAATGGATTTAGTTTCTATAGATTTTCCCTGCTCTTCAGCAATTTTCTTGATTCTGTTTCATTAACTATTTATTGCACACTAGCAGTAGAGCCCCGCATTGCCCGGGGATGTAACAGTAAGAGATAGATCAAGTATCGACCATCATAAAGACTGAAAAATAAAATTGACAACTGACCCTTTTACAAGCATATATGGATCAGCAGTTAAGAATCTAGATTTTAGCATTTTTTTTAATACAATGCACAATAATTATTATTAGTGAAATATCAAAGTATCAAAACAAAAGAATGAAAAAAAAATCATACCATCAATTGATATAAATTTAGCTTTTATTGACTTATCAAATCCTTTTATTTTTATTTTGTACTAAATGAAAAAGAGGCTGGCAGTGAAAGTGACTATTCTCAAAATGTTGTATCTCATGTTTTTGAGATAAGAGAGAAATAAGGAAAACAAACTCATAGGTAAGTAATAAAGTAGAAGGTTGACTAAACAAAGGTACACTTAGCAAATGACCTAATGCTAACTCTCCTCAACTCTGCTTATTTGCATAAACAGACAATTCCATTCATTTATTTCCTATATGACACAGTTTCTCTAAGGTTTTCTTGTTGCTTACTTGCTCTATCCATAGAATTTTCAGTATCCTTCTGTAGAACCACATTTCTGCTTGCTTAAGTTTTTTTCAACCTCCATGGGGAGATTGTCTAGCATTCACTGCCATATAAGAAAATTTTTCCATTTCTCAGTACCTTGCTTAGCTTTTAGAAGGCTTCTTTCACTAGTCCAATGTGTATTTAGATCTCAGTCTCCTTTTCCGGCCTCTTCTAAAATGCTTCCCAGATTCACCTGCTAGATGTTTATATCTCCAGTTTGTAACTCACATCTTCAGCTTTTTCTCTTGCTGACACCAATACTTTGTCTTCTTGCAGTTGATGATTAGTTTATTTTACTCGCTTTCTCCTACCACCCTGTCTCAGAGTGCCTCTAGTTTTCTTTTCATGTCAACCAGAACTATTATCATTTGCATATCTTACATTATTAGGATTATGCCCACCAATAAAAAATCCTGATAGGATCCC